CTTGATCTTCTGATCCAAACTTTTGTCACCTTTTAAAACGTCACAGAGGAGATCTGCGGGACCACAGTGAAACATACACAAACAAATGTCCAATCAAAAGCTATTCAGCATTAAGATACACTTTTAAGTTTTAAAAGATTAGTACAGATTACTACATTTTTCAAATTGATAGGCTTTCCTGCTGCAGTTCACCTGTTTCCACATAGACCACACTGTGGGGGTTGTACGGGGCGACAAATCCGTACTCTAGCATCAAGCGCTGGTTGTCATGGGAACCATAGTTAATGAAGGCCTGCTGGTAACCGAGTGTCCCGGAAACGCTCCTGATTTCATAACATCTTGTCACGTCATTAAAACTGGCTTTTACCTGAGGACATAACATAATTATGATGAGATTTATGAAAACTCATTACTGGCTCTCCATCGTTCATTTAAAACTCTGCTCAGGAAGCAGACGAGGTCATTTTACATTCTGTTTATGAAGGAAATGGGAAGATAATTAGGCTACATCTACAGTATCTGCTGAGTGCTTTTACATATAGTGAAGTGTTTATGTGTTGAAGCTTACCTGCACGTCAGGGCGGTGATTGAGCAGGTCCAGAAATGGAGCTAAAGCATAAACATCCTGTCCAAACAGGAAGTCGTTGGATGGGTGGGACATGAAGACAGAGCGTGTGTTGACGCTACACCATGCCCACCTAGTGGAGGAGGGCAACAGCTTAATAATCAGACAGATACACTTGCCATAAACCATTGTAGTGAATTGATAATCAATGATTTTCCATTTAAAAAGATACAAACACATACTAAAATGAATAAATTGTAAATGGACTGAAAGCTTTTTCTAACTTAGTGGACAAAGAGATTTTGTCAGACACAACTTATAATAAAGTACCACTAAGAAAAGTCCTGCTTTCTTGAAAATGTATTTGACTAAAATGTTAAGACTAGAGAAACTTTGCATACCTGTCAAGATTTTGGAAAGGCCTATATTCAACTTTTAATGCGTGTGTGTGCTTACCTCAATGCTTCATATGTCAACACCTCATCTACAGGCTGACTCAGGACTGGCTGCAGGGATCTGGATCAAGAATATATCACTTTCATCTCAAATCACAGCTTGGGACGTTACTGACATTCCTGGCCATTTTTGAAGAATTATAATGTATTGAGATAAATTTCAAGCACCATGTTTATACTTGTATGTTAAAATAAAGGAAGAAATGTTGTAAAACAACAGCTTCAAAGAGCAAAGAAGATTATCATGGGTCACAAAATCTCTGCAAGTAATCTTTTGCAATATGCAAGTAACCTTTGCTCTGCCAGTCAAGTCTGAACCCACTGGTTACTCTTACAAATAACCTGAACAACTCGTTTCAGTGTGCCGTGTACCAGACTCACCTGAAGAAGTCTTGATTAAAGGAGTGGATTTCTCGCACCTCCTCCCTCTGCTCCAAAGCCCGTCGCCGCACACTGGCAGGCAGAACAGCCATGGCATCATCGGTGAAGTAGGCGGGGCAGGTGTAAGTGGTAGGCAGCACGTTGATGTAAGGGAACCAGTCGGAGGCCTCTCCTCTGTGCCGCTCACACACCAGGAAGACACAGAGTGCCAACAGAGGAGAGAGGCGGGGCTTCCAGCTGGAGAGACAAAAATAATGCCAGTCAACCCTTCAGAGTCTGACCTCTAGACCCTTGGCTTATCCACTTTGTGTCTGGAAACATAGTTACATACTCATTTGCTATAACGCAATTCAGTACGACAAAAACACAAACTACCAAAGTTGAATCAACACCTCTGTAACACACTGAAGCTTTAAAAAAGTATTAGTTATTGCAGGGCTGATTTAATGCAAAAGCTGATATTTGCATATTCTGATATTTTAAATAGTTTCACTTGTGTATGAATATGTGAGTGTGTGTGTACCTCTTGATATACTGTCCCAGGTAGCTGTCCAGAACAGTTGAGGTTGTGAGGAGACAGGACTCTGGCAGAGAAATGACCAGCTGGCCAGGCTGACAGAGGAAAAGACATACAAAGAGAAAGATTGTAACCACCCCAAAGCCACAAGAAAATAATCAAACAAAAGACATGCTATGTTATTATATGATTGGCTGACTAGAGGTGTCTGATTTAGTTATCATGCAGATAGTTATACTTGCATATACATGCACATGTGCACACCTGTACAGAAAAATATAGAGTAATGCCAGCCTTATTCATAAATATTTAATGTTGTGATTGTTAACTTGTTTTTCTCTGACAATAGAAACTGTATATTTAGGTTATTACTGTGAGGTAGTTTAATTAATCAGATGCACAATTGCATTTTAAATGACTTACCTTTATGGTCTTGAGAGCTTGCAGTCCTCTGCCTGTGTCTGGATTACATGAAGCAACAAACACGCACAAAGTCGGTACTTCAATCAATCAGTCAGGTTATTATATAAATGTTGGAGGCAGTGAATGTTTATCTGATCTTTTCTACATCACAGTCAAAGGCTGCTCTTAAGTGGCAGAATATGGAGAATCAGACTCGCTGCTGTACCTGTCAATCATGAGTTGTTACAACTAACTGTTGTCACATCTGAATGTTCGTATAAACATCACATTGCAAACCAGAACTCAGCAAAACCCGTGTCTTCATACAAATATGGTGCTGACTCTGGTGCAGATGCTACTTCTCTCTGAGCAAATCATGTAACAGCTCTGTACTGTATGTTGAGTCGTACCAGTGAAGAGGGCTGGCTGCAGCAGCGTTGAGGTGAATCCCCGTTGGTGAAGAAATTTCAATAGCTTCACATACTGCAGATGGTGACACAGAGAAACTGAAGAAACAGAGGTAAACAGACTGGTGATGGGCGAGACCAGAAGAGAGACCGGTCTGTGCTGAAACACTTGACAGTACTGAACATTTTTATAAAGCAACCATGTAGCAGTAAATTGGTTTATACCTGACTGGATGAGACTTTCTTGTTTCTGCCTCCTCTTCCTCGCAGCTCTTCCAGCCCGATGCCTGCAACCCCTCATGACCCCACCTGGATCTGTAATGCCTCCTGTGGCCTGTACTACGAAGCGGGGTAACTGGCTTATCCAGGTAACTTCAGGAGTAACTTTGTGACGTCGGGTGTAACTTCCCGGTTAACCCGTACTACGAAAGGTGGATAGGTGTTACCCTACAGAGGTCTGTTGCCAGTGTTAATGATGAGAAGTAGGATATTAATACACACCGCTTCATAACATGTGTTTAGATTTCATCCTGATTTGCTTCCCTGCGGTTGCAATGAAGTTCTGAACACAACAGCATTACGTTCAGAGAGCGAGCCCTGCAGCCTCAGGGATTTTAGAGAGGAATCTAAATTAATTAACGGGATAGTTTCTTAGATGTAGCCCATCTGTAGTCTATAATTGAATTCTCCTAAGTGTTTTCACATATTTCAAAAAATCGTAGATGAAAGTGTGAAATTTACAAGAAGAAAAATCAGAAATTCCCTGAAATTAATGTCATAAAAAATCGAAAATCACTCTGTTTCCTTCTGAATATGCCCAATAAAAGTCTCTAAGGTGCATGACAGTGATTTTGGGCTAAATTCAGGAGTATTTCCTCACTGCTAAATCCAATTGCAAAGTTTAATATAACTTTCCAGTGCGTGCATAATACATGGAAGATGTGTGTGTGATGTTGCAGCCTTGCAAAGCGAAGTTTCTCTCAAATGTGTGGCTATAATGTCAGTGAATATTCAAGTTTTTTTACTTGTAGGCTAGATTAAATTAATTTTTCTCTCGGATTATTAGGACTCCCCCTCTGCTGGCTCCTTTTTTCCCCTATTACAATGGACGTTATATGCAGTTGTAACTTTACATCATATTACACATAAAAGAGCAGCCCATAAAATACATAATAGAGATTTGAACTACAATAAGAACACTGGGAAGATAATTAGACCACAAATTTAGTCCAACAAGACTCCCTGGCTTTGTCGTCCGCCACGATATTAGATTTAGCCGTTAACTTGTCTTTACATTCATAATTTTCATACACTAACAATGTGAATTCCTCTGGAGAAATACGGAGCATGCGCGTTGCGAAAAACTCTGCCTGCACGGCCGAACACACCCGTTTTATGCGAACGCACCAGGTTAACAAGGACTCAATTATCCACCTTCGTAGTACCGTTTAACTCCAGTGTAGGCGGTCAGAGTTTGTCAACCCTGAGTCTGCCTGATAACCCGAGTTAACTCTGAGTAGGTTGAACTCCCTTCGTGGTGCAGGCCACTGGTGAACAAACACACACATAAACACACACACTAAAGTGAATAAACACACCTTAATCTGACCAAAACACACTCAATCTCTCTCTCAGTGATGCCAAAACTCCAAACCAACCATACAGTAAAAAATAACAACACAAACATATACCTGGACCTAAAGTTACCTTTGTATAATGAGCAATATAGGTATTTATACCAAATATTTAACCACTGTAATGTGTCTCTCCTATATCAAACACCACAACATACCCAGCATGCATCGCACACCAAAGAAAACACCAAGGTGTAGCCTATTTGTCAACGAAATTAAACTATAGGTACATACAAATATACATAAACATCAAATACAATACCTGGATATTATTGTCATCTGCATTAAATCTTGATCCAGCTCCGTCGTTGCTCCTTGGGTTGTTTCCACAAACCCACGTGGTTAACTTGTTTTTCCGGGTATGCGCACTGACAATGCGCGGCAAACTTCACTCCCTCCCATTTTCTTCTTCTTCTTCTTCTTCTTTGGGGGTTTTATGGCGGTTGGCATCCAGATCTCCTTGCTGCTTCTGCACCATCTTGATCCTTTCTGACCTGCTCTTAATTCCCACAGTTAATCACCATAGCAATAAATGCGAGGCACGCTGAATTACTTTCCTCACTTTCTCCTTGACGGAATCTTGTGAGTCTTCTCGCATCAGACATTTTCAGTGTCCCATAAGTCCTCGTCTTCCACTGACCTCGGTACGCCGCTTATTACCCCCTTTCACACAGTAAATGACACCCATCCCCACTCCTTGTTCTTTTGATGGACCGGGCCGAGTTTATCTCCAACAAACTTTCCAACCTCGTGCGAATCTTTGAAGATCTCATCCTTTCCTTTGTCACTGCTATCATTCCTACTTGAAACCTCTCATCTGTTTTTCCTGCCTGGCTGCCATCACTTGAATCCTTCTTCCTTTTCACAACTCCTCTTGTGTCTTCCTCGTTCTCCACACTCTCCTCTGACTCCATTTCCCCTCCTCCACCGTTAGACCGACCCTCTTCTCTCTCCTCCCATTTCCTCTCTGCAGCAGCTGCTTCACCCTCTCTGCACGTTTCACGCAGCTCTACGAGACCAGCTTAAAGTAAGAACCCTCAATTTCGCCTTTTGGTTACAAAGTTAGCAGCTTGCTCACATGACAAAGTTCATTTTAGTGTCCACATTTGTTTGTTTGGAAATGGTTCATTATTGAAAATTTCCATATTAGCAAGTCAGCGTTATGTAACGCAAAAACAATTATCTGAATTTAAGCGAAAAGCCCTCTTTTAAAGCTAGAGTGTATAGCGAAACATGCAATTTGAGTATTGATATTACCTAATGTTTGCCTGAAGCCTTCATGTCTCGAGATTAAAATGTTAGTTGCACGCTCTTGCAAAGTCATAATCCACAATCCTGTTGTAATGTTTGCATCAGGGCTAAAGCTCATAATAGTTACCCCCGTGCAGATGAATGCACTTTTATTATTTTTCTCTTATTTGACTTTTTGATTTAATTGTTGTATCATTTGACAATTTAAAGCTTTTTTTACATGGTCATAAGACAAAGTGGCAGATTAAGTTCCCACATTTCACGTCTTCTCAATCAAGACTAAAGACTTTCTTTTTACCACATAATTAAATCAAATGTAAGGCTGTAGATTAATAACTTACACTAACTGTTTTATTTTCTATTTAACCTGTTAAAAACCTCTTTATATTTCCCTATAATGCTTTTATGTTTCATGTAAAACACTTTGAAATGCCTTGTTGTTTAAAATGAGCTACACAAATAAACTTGTCTTGCCTTACATCACAGTAAAAAGTGTCATTTTATGATTGATGCTTAATCACCAGTGAACTTCTTGATTCCAGTTAGATTAAATAGCCAATTTAAATAATATAAATACAACAGTTCTGTCTCTGGATTTATCACCATGACTCAGCAAATCTCCTCCTATTTGTTTGACACTTGTGTATGTTTTATGCTTAATGTGTGGCTATGGCTGTTTGTTTTACTGCTGTTAATGAGCATTTAATATGCGAGTTCATTCACTGGTGTCTCTCTGTACACAGACATGTCTCCCAGGTGGCTGTGGTAACGGGCAGTAACAAGGGCATCGGTCTGGCCATCGTCCGAGCGCTCTGCAAGCAGTTCCAAGGAGACGTTTACCTCGCCGCTAGAGACGTGTAAGTAGCTCAGTAGGTAACACCTGGACCAGGCTACATATACAGGTGCATTAAAAATAATATAATATCGTGGAAAAGTCCACTGTGAGAACCAGACTGATAATGAAAGGCTCAGGAAACCTTTGCAGAGTTAATTAGCTGATTAAAGTTTGACATTTATGTATTATAAAAAAAACACTTTTCCATACTGAAGTATTGTTTTCAATGAGCTGTAAGTGTAATCATCAAGACTACAACAACAAAAAAAGGCTTGAAATATTTCACTTCATGTGTATTGAATCTAGAATATATGAAAGTTTCACTTTTTTAATTAAATTATCGAAGAAAATGAACTTTTTTGATGATGCACATGTACAGACAAAGATAATCATATGATCACACCCCTAGCAATCGGTTATGTACACATGAAAACACACAATAAAAAAGAGAGAATCTCCTGAGGATTAACCACAAATGTTTGGCAGATTTTGTGTTCATGTAGATTCCCATCAGTCAGAGTAAGAAGCTGATAGCGAAAACATGTTTTAAGGCCTTTGAAAATCCTTTTAAAACGCTTTAGGCCTCTACGCAGTCTGAGAGCTAAAATAAAAAAGCAGGAATTGAAGATTTTAGTAGACTAAGCTCTGTAAGCCCATTTGTTCAAGGTCTCGCCAACAGATCTTTTTCTTATCAGAATTAAGACGAGATGAAAATAAATCCAAATGTTTTGCAGCGGTCGTGGTCAGGAAGCAGTGGCGTCTCTGGCATCAGAGGGACTGACGGCCTTGTTTCACCAGCTGGACATCAACGACCTGAACAGCATCACCACCGCCGCTGCGTACTTTAAAGACAAGTACGGAGGAGTGGACGTGCTCGTCAATAATGCTGCGATAGCGTTCAAAGGTAGGATTACAATGATCCATTCATCATCTTCAACCAGTTATCTGTTCGCACGGGGGCTGGAGTAAATCCTAGGTGACATTGGGCGAGATGCGGGGTACATGCAAAATATATAATAATACATTGATATATCTGATCATTTCAATGTTAATATAACTACCAAAAAATGGTATTCAAATTATTCAGTAGTATATGGTTTGGAGCTTTTCTTGCTCTCTTCAGTGGCAGACACAGCTCCATTTGCGGTCCAGGCAGAGGTGACCCTCAAGACAAACTTCTTCGCCACCAGAGACATGTTGACTCACTTCCTGCCGATCATCAAAGCTGGAGGTAAGGACACAGATCTGGACCAAGTCTACTGTCTGCTCCATAAAGGGGCTTTATGTAGTTTTTCAATGAAATCACTTATTAATAAATAAAAATGACTTGACTTATTGGCAATGGGCTGTAACCTCGCTTAGAAATTAGGCACATGCCTGTTTTTTCTGTTGATTGGAACAGCCCCTATTCTGCTTTAAATGTGAAGGCACTGGGTTGGGATGTTCAGAAAGGCTTGAGGCTCGGAGAGCATCAACGCCAAGCAGTCAACGTTATCTGGCTCAATATAGTATGTAACGTTATGGCTTTCCACATTACTGTACCACCGGTATTATGTCAGTGTTTATTTAGCCTGCAATAAAAGGATGTAACGGTACAAAGCAAATTTCTATATTAGCGTTGATGCAAGGCAGGAGCAGCCAGTTAAGGTACAGTAGCACGGATCTACCGCTTCGTAATGTTCAATTTAGATTTATTGAAGTTTTATTGATACTCAGTATACAGCTTCTGCACTGTCTTAAAAGTGGTGGTTCTACTCAGCTTTCCAATTTCAAGAGTTTGTTGGGTCTTGATTCAGAAGTTTTTAAAAAAATGAATAGTGATGTGGGCGAGTTAAATTTGGTTAATTTGAATTAGCCATGGTTCAAAAGTTACTTTGGAGAATCTAAAATAGCTGTTGGTAAAATATGTGATCACATCTTTCTCCAAAACCTGTACCCGCTGTCTCTGATGTATCAGAAGCTCCTGATCTTGCCAAAGTTGACACATTATTAACATTATAACTCATTAGAAAATTACATCAAATGGACATGTGGGTTTGTGTGTGTATTTCAGGCCGTGTGGTGAACGTCTCCAGCTTCGTCAGCTCCCGCGCTCTGAACCAGTGCAGCGCAGCCCTCCAGGAGCGATTCCGCAGCGAGGACATCACAGAGGAGGAGCTGGTGGGACTGATGCAGCGTTTCGTTGATGAGGCCAAGAAGGGCGAGCACAAGCAGGGCGGCTGGCCTGAAACGGCTTATGGAATATCCAAAACTGGACTGACGGTAAGGTTGAGCGAAATGACGTATATTCCGAGCAACAGTAGAAATGCGTCCACGGGCAGAGATTTGAGCTATCCTTTAGTGTCTCTGCTACATATTTGCGGCGGGCTATGTATCTTGTGAATCCAGACGGGAGAGCGGCAGTTGGTGGCGGTGATATCCTTCAATGCTGGTTGGCCAACCTTTGCAGGTGAAATTGTAATGTGTAATGTAATGTGTCTCTGTGTTTGTGTCTTCAGACCCTGTCCATGATCCTGGCTCGCCGTCTGTCCAAGGAGAGACCGCATGACGGGGTAATCACTGAAATATAACAACAAACAAGAACCATCTATTCGCTTTAATTCGATTTAAGTGCTTTTTTGTGAGATATATATATATATATATATATATATATATAAGTAATGTTTTTATGTTTTATGTAAAGCACGTTGCCATGTTGTTGAAGGGTGCTGTGCAAATTTGACATTTGCCTTTGCCTTGCTTAAAATAAACTCATATCATAAGCACTGGGAGGTTGGACAGAGTCATCAGAAACAAATGACAAATTTAATCACCTACAACATCTGTTTGTCATCTGTTTTACAGATCCTGCTGAACGCCTGCTGTCCAGGCTGGGTGCGCACCGATATGGCCGGTCCGAAAGCCCCCAAGTCACCAGACGAGGGCGCTGTCACTCCGGTCTACCTGGCACTGCTGCCCCCCGGGGCCACAGAGCCTCACGGAAAGTTTGTCTCTGATAAAGAAGTTCAGCCGTGGTGAAGGTGTTAAAGACACCTGAGGGTGTGAGAGTAACTGAAAGACTGCTAGTGTTTCCACTTGAGCACTACATTGCCAAAACCTTCGGATTCATTTTGCCTTTGGTGGTCGAAACATTTCTATATTTATTACATGGAAAATGGAAAACTTGCCTTAACTGGATGAAACTCAAATGTTGTGAAAATAAATGGTTTTCTGGCAATAAAAATGCTGTTTTACAGTACAATGCTTTTTTTTCAGGAAGATGTTACATTGCTTTTGCTCATAATTTGAATAGATAACTACCAAAAAGTCCTAAAAGGATGTGTTTAGAAACCAGCAAATTTGACTGTTTATAAATGTGTCCAAAAATGTCTCAGCATAATATGTACTGTACAAACATGTGTCCTAACTTACCAGATGTGTGATCAAATTTCATGAAAACATTTCTGTGTTGAACACAGTAGTATGATTTATTTACAGGATCTTATCTGTACATTTAAAGACCTCCATTGTTTTTATAATTCAGCCTGTGATTTTAGAAATAGGCCAGTGAGCTCATGACGATAGTTCCATTGCAAAATCTGTCAACCTAAAACATTTTGTAACAGTCACCCATCAAAGTCTGATAGTACATACATACAAACACCCCGAACATGCCACAGAGCATTTAGTACATTTTTTAGTCAAGCTTCCTGCATTATGATCTAAATGATGGTTTCAACACCTCTTTTGTTTGGAACAATTTTGTTAACCTTTTGCAGTCTTGCTTTATTTGCTTATATGCTGATCTCCATGAACATAATAACAATAAAGATCCTCTCTTGTACAAGAAACATCATACTCCCCAATTAATTTTCTTACAAATTACTTCAGAACGATCTACACTGCTAGTTTATTAGGTACACCTATCTTAAACTAATGCAGTTAATACCCTGCAATAAACCCTTACTTTGTATCTGAAGGTTATCATGATCAGGTTTGGACACATTTTAGAGAGGTATTGATTAAATTTTGTTTTGGAGCCTGTATCATGTGGTGCAGGAAATTAATGTGATTTGTTTCTAATAGTAAGTCCAACCCATTTATATCAATGTGGGTAGAGTAAATAAACTCTTTCTACAAAAACTGAACATTATATCTTCATGAGGGTCATATTTATTTCATGGATGTTGCATTAGACTACAATTGTTCTACCTAGCTGTGTGCCTAATAAAATTGCTCAAAATACGGACTTTTAATTTAATTGTATGCTTTAAGTGTACTTTTGCTAAGCCAAACTAACGTACAGCCTACATGCGCTTTGTATTAATGTTAGTGATTTATACCAAAACCACTGTTAAGGTGTCTCTCCTACATCAAACACCACAACATACCCAACACGCATCTATCACCAAAGACAACGCCACTGTGTGTTTTACTAAACGATACTATGGGTACATACAGACAGAGTTAAACACCTATATATTATACGCCGTTGCATTTTTAACATTTTACTGAATAACTTGTGTGCAAAGAAGATGCTTAGAAATTCCTTAGTGTAACCAGCTCCCTAGCAACATATTTCTACATCAATTTACATACAGAACATGTTTTACTATATGATAGTTTTTATAATTTTAATTAAATAAATGCAAATATACTTTATGGTGCCTTTAGTTATTGTTTACTATTAACAATGTGAGTTGTCGTGTGAGTTCATTCAACTGCTTCTTGTGAAGATGGGGTGCATAGTTTTTCTCCAAGTTCACAAGTAGGAAATCCGACTTCAAGTGGCGTTCCAGGATAGTTTTTGTAGTTGGAGGTCGGGAAGTGATGCTATTGGGGAAATCCTTTATACATAAATGTCAGGTTCTTTAAGACTAAACCCTGCTTGAACTACTGAAAGAATGAGATAAAATGTTTGAATAAGTCACTGAAACTTGTCAAAAACAATAAAGCTCTTAACTTGGTTTAATTATTAAGCAGATTTAAGTTAATCTGAGGTAGTCCTACCTTTATTTGATTCTATTTATTTACTTTTTATTCTGTCATTTGATGTCCCCTCTGTTCCTTGCTTAACCTGATGGAAATGATGTAGTGATATATAAGACGTGCTCTCATGCTGCGTTCAGGGCAACTCGGAACTGGGAAATTTCCAACCTCCAAGTAGAAAAACTATCCTGGAACGCCACCTGAAGTCGGATTTCCAAAGTATTCCCAGCAGCCGAATGATATCACATAACAATCACAGCACACATTGTAAATAGTAAACAATAACTTTATAGTCAAAGTAAAGCACCTAAAATGCTTTGAGGTTGGAAGTCGGATATTTCAACTTGGAAATTTCCCAGTTCCGACCGTCAGGAACGCGGCATCAAACCTCTGTTGCTAACTTGTTTTTCCGGGTATGCGCACCGACACTGCGCCGCACACCTCCAGCATTCCTCCCTTTTCCTCCAGATTTTATTTCCGCAGCAGCTTCACCTCCTCCGGACGTTTCACGCAGAACTACGAGACCAGCTTGAAGTAAGAAGCCTCAATTTCATCATCGAGTTAGATAACATATGATTGCTGACATATAAATGTGCTTTTTAGTATCTGATTTATTTATCTGAAAATGGGTTTGTCCATTTAGCCTGACGTTACTTAAAAACTCTGATCTGAAATCGGGATAGAGGTCCGGTCTCAAAGCTAAAATCTACATTTTACTCTTTCGCGCACCGTAACTTTCTTATTGCGCACAGTTGCAGGTGTTGTGCCGACTTCTGCATGCATCCTCCAAGTAGCTCTTTAAAAACGATATATTTGTGTGTTCATCAACGGTGATAAAAGGTTCAAAGTTTATATTTTATAAACGTTGTGATCATCATATCATCAATATTTTATTATACCAAGTAGAAGTAGCATTCCTTGAGATTGAGCATAAATCTGTGGAAATAACCGCATTTGATCAACCTTAAGTGGTGGATTCATTATCCTGCAGGACAGATGTTTTAGGCTACCTGCCGACATTTGCTTCCACCTCTTTTCTCAGCATATAAACGGTAACTACCTCCCGGGAGCTGCATGCAGTAGCCAACTCTGCACAACTCTTTTCTACCCTCTCCATAGCTGCATTTCAGGATCTCCGGCCCTAAATAAACTGCATTACCCAGGAGGCACTACGTGACGCTCACCTGTTCACCTGGGGGAAGATCAGGCGTCTTTTACTCAAACATGTTTCAACTTCGCTCGTCAGTGTAACTTTCCGTGAACCGACCAATCACAGCCTAGACATTAAAAACAAAGTTGACTGGCTACAGCAAACTTTAGAAATGTTGAACTCGTTCTGCATGAACGATCACGAATGGGGTGGTGATGGCGCAGTGGGTGGGATAAGACTCGCATCTGGTGTGTGAGACAATGTAAACCTTTTTTATTGCACAAGGATATTTAAGAAATAACACCCCCCCCACCCCCCACCCCAAAATAAAACTGACTACTTGTGACAAGGTATTTAGTATTATCAGATAACATAATGAATACATTAACATTAGCCCCAATCAAACCTTAACCACAGTGGTGTAATATCAGAAAACAGGTTTATTTGTGACACAGCAGCTGACTGTGAATGAGGACCTACTCACACCTTTTCCCCCTCTTCAAACACAACTAAAATGTATAATGAAAATGTATAATTTCATCAGGGCTAAATAGTTACCCCCATGCAGATGGTGTGACATTTTACGATTGATGCTTGATCGCCAATGAATGGCTTCTTGATACAAGTCAGATTATAGCCAATATAAAGGAAACCGGTCTGTCTCTGGACTTGTCACCGTGACTCTGCAAATTCATTTTCAGTCTCCTCCTAATGTGTAGCTATGCCTGTTTAGACCTTATTTTTCTGCTGTTAATGTTCATTCACTGGTGTCTCTCTCTACTCAAGATATGTCTGCCAGGGTGGCTTTGGTAACGGGCAGTAACAAGGGCATCGGCCTGGCCATCGTCCGAGCGCTTTGCAAGCAGTTCCAAGGAGACGTTTACCTCGCCGCCAGAGACGTGTAGGTAGCTCATCTGTTAACACCTGGACCAGGCTACATATACAGGTGCATTAAAAATATCCTGGAAAAGTCCACTGTGAGCATCAGAGCCAGACTGAGAGATTAAAGGCTCAGGGAAGCTTTACAGGTGTTTTGAGTTAATTAGCTGATTAGAGCTCTTCCCAGATAAAATTAAAGTCTTTATTCTAAAATTCTAATACATTTTGCGATACTGAAGTTTTGCTTTCCATGAGCTGTAAGTGTAATCATCAAGATAAAAACAACAAAAAAGCTTTTTAGATGCCCTGTACAGACAAAGAAATGACAGATGCACCTACAATTAGGAGATCATATGATAGAAAATAACAACTCTGTTCATTTGTTATGTGCACATAAAAAAACAAAGAATTAAGACAAGATGAAAATAAATCCAAATGTTTTGCAGCGGTCGTGGTCAGGAAGCAGTGGCGTCTCTGGCCTCAGAGGGACTGACGGCCTTGTTTCACCAGCTGGACATCAACGACCTGAACAGCATCACCACCGCCGCTGCGTACTTTAAAGACAAGTACGGAGGAGTGGACGTGCTCGTCAATAATGCTGCGATAGCGTTCAAAGGTAGGATTACAATGATCCATTCATCATCTTCAACCGCTTATTTGTACACGGTTGCAGGGGGGGCTGGAGCCAATCTCAGCTGACATTGAGAGGCGGAGTATACCCTAGATAAGTCGCCAGTTCAGATTACAATAATATATAAATATATTATCAATTCAAAACATGATTCGTATACCAGTATTGGTATTCAAATCATACAGTAGTATATGTTGACACATAATTACTTTTTATTTAGCTCTGCTTTATAACTTTCATTAGTTTCCTAATTAGACAGTATTTCTGACGTTTGAAGCTGCAGCTGTGAACTGAAGGAGCCTGTTACGTAACAACATCTTGTAAACTCTCTCTCTTTCTTGCTCTCTTCAGTGGCAGACACAGCTCCATTTGCGGTCCAGGCAGAGGTGACCCTCAAGACAAACTTCTTCGCCACCAGAGACATGTTGACTCACTTCCTGCCGATCATCAAAGCTGGAGGTAAGGACACAGATCTGGACCAAGTGTACTGTCTGCCTCTTAAACTCACAGCTCAGCGCACACAGCCTACTTTACAGTTTTTAAAAACAATTTGGCAGAATAGTGAGAAGCAGAGTGGTTGTTCTACTCAGCTTTCCAATTTTAAGAGTTTGTTTGGTCTTGATTCAGAAAAAGTTTTAAAAGGATGAAAAGGTTCATTTGAGTCGGCCATCGTTCAAAAGTGACTTTTGATGAAAAAAGGCTGTTGGTGATAGTCTCCAAACCTGTACCTGCTCTCTCATGTTTCAGTAGCTCCTGATCTTGTCAAAGGTGACACATTATAAACGCACTCATTAGAAAATTATATCAAACAAATGTGTGTGTATTTCAGGCCGTGTTGTGAACATTTCCAGCATCGCTGGCTCCGGCGCTCTGAAGCAGTGCAGCGCGGCCCTCCAGGAGCGATTCCGCAGCGAGAACATCACAGAGGAGGAGCTGGTGGGACTGATGCAGTGTTTCGTTGAGGAGGCCAAGAAGGGCGAGCACAAGCAGGGCGGCTGGCCTGAAACGGCGTATGGAATATCCAAGACTGGACTGACGGTATGGTTGGGCAACATGTTGTATTTATTATGTGACGGTAGAAATGTGCCCAGAGATTTGGCACCTGCTATCCTGAGTGAAATTGTAAATAAAGAGCAGGAGGAATTGTTCCTGTTTGTATGGAAGTTCCAAATAAAAGAGAATAAAAAATCATAAATAGTATGGTATGATTATTCTAAACTGTTAATGTTTAATGATATATACCATGCCTGTGATATAAAATGAAATACTGTGACTCATCAGACGATCAGTCATCTCATCAGTCGAGATCAAGAACGAGTTTGCAGGTCTTAAAATGTAAAGGGAAATAAAAGCTGAGAAAATTTGGTGAGATGCTTCTCTAATGCCACGTTTCCTTTCATAGAGACATTGGTTATTCATGTGTGTCTCTGTGTGTGTTTATAGACCCTGTCCATGATCCTGGCTCGACGTCTGTCCAAGGAGAGACCGAATGACGGGGTAATCACTGAAATCTAAACAAGAGCCATCTATTAGTTTCTTTTTAACCACTTTGTTCAGCAGTATCTTATTAAAGGTTGTAGCAATAATGTTAATTGGACTTCATATACTGTCATATATTTTTAACAATTTATTGTGTAAAATCTGCTTCACAACAGTACAGACACTCTTATCACTTGCTCATCTTTTATTTGTGCTACTTTTACGTTCTTGTCTCAAACTACAAAACTTTTAAGGATGTTTCCTATTCAGTATAAACTAAATCATTGTGAGGATAATTCATGAAAACTCTGGGTTGTCATTAGGTACTTTGAACTACCTTCTGCTTCCCACAACATTAACACGACCCAAACAGTCGTGGACTGCTAGTAACAGAGCCATCAGAAACAATCCCCTACAACATCTGTTTGTCATCTGTTTTACAGATCCTGCTGAACGCCTGCTGTCCAGGCTGGGTGCGCACCGATATGGCCGGTCCAAAAGCCCCCAAGTCACCAGACGAGGGCGCTGTCACTCCGGTCTACCTGGCACTGCTGCCCCCCGGGGCCACAGAGCCTCACGGAAAGTTTGTCTCTGAGAAAGAAGTTCAGCCGTGGTGAAAGGGTTAAAGACTGTGTGTGACTGTGTCTGTGTGTTTATTTCATGTTCTTATATATCAAAAGGGACTTAAACCTGAATGCATCTCAAAATCAGAAGTTGAGGTCCACACGGGTAGAGACTGCTTATAGAGGGGGTAAGACTTGGTTTTAGGGTTCAGGTCAGGGATGGAAATTAACACCAGCCAAATGTGGGTGGATTTTCCACTTGGGGGCTTAAATGTTGGAAGGCCACCCGCCACATTGGCGGTTAAATGTATTCGTCATGATATCACCATATAATTTCTATTTCACGGTAATTGGCAGCAGACCTTCTGCCAAAGGTTCTTGTTTGTTGTGTGTCGTACTTAAATTGGTCCCTGATATACCAAGGGATCTAAAATCATGTAACACACGGATTAAAGGGCTTCATTGGTTGTTGTTTATGTTCGTTTCATGGTACTTGTGTTTGATTGGTGTAGATTTGTAAGGGGGTGGGGCGTAAGGGGACAGGAGTCAGGAGGGAAAGGGGGGAGAGTGAGACTATAGCCGCTTTCATACGGAGAACAATGCAGAAAAAATATCCGCATATATGTCGCATTTAGTAATACAAACTGAACACAAAAGTTTCCAGCGTTATCCCACAACCATGTGTGCTTTCACATAGCGGCCCGGCTTTGAAAAAGACTGTTATGTGTAACACAACACCGGCATGTCGGCTGTGGCTTTTCACACAGAGATCCGCCTCTCTATCTCGTCTCTGTCACCAACTTTCTGGCTCTGTACCTTTCATACAGTGTAGATTGGCTCAGTACCCCGGTGAAATAAGGCAGCGTGAAAGCTGCTAGTTTTGGGAGCTCATTAAAAGTTGTAGTTGGGAGTGTTTTTAGCTTTTAGCTGGCTAGCCACCTGCGTAATGTGGCAACATTTATCATTGCCAAGAAACCAACAAAACAAAGAAACAAAGCAAAGGAAGAGGAGGCTGAAGCAAAACATAAAAAAATAAAGTTGGCGGTCCAGTCTAGTATCTGATCCACTGTCAGATCTTATGGTCCTGCTGTCCTCCCCAGAGATCAAGAGTATGATCCATAGGCTGTATAAAAAAATGTTGATCCCACAAAAGCTGTGATGCTGTGGCACCAGGACTCTGAACCAGGAGGCAAACTGAGGAGTCTGAGAAGAGTTAAGCTGAATGATAAAGCATGTTTAAGAGTCAGTGATGAGATTTAAGTTGAATGATTAATAAGCATCTCGTAAGTAATTATATTTTTTTCCTTAAAAGTCAAGTACATTTAATAGCAATAATATAACTTTGCTTCAAATTTCAGTCTGGCCTCTTCTTTAAGTTTGTATTCGACATAATATTATCTCAATTAAAAGAATGGAAACAAATGTATACGTGACACAAAAGGCAATTTATTATTTTGGGCGGTAAAAAATACGTTTGGCTGGTGTATTTTTTCATCTACCAGCCACCTTGGCAGGTGAGCTGAAAATATAATTTGGGTTAAGGTAAGAGTTCAGGTTAGGCATGTCCTTATGATGGTTGAGGTTAGGGCACAGGCAAAATTTTCCATCCGAATAGAAACATGACACAATCTGGAAAAACTATTACAATATTTAAAATATTAACCCAACGAGTTTAGTGGTTAAACTAAATGGTGATGGACATAACTCCATAATTACTCTTGTAAGGTGTGTGTGTGTTTGCACCTGCAGGGTTATATGCAACATTAAACCATGAATCTGTATAGGTGCTTGCTAACCGTTGGTGTTTTTGATAAAACAAAATGTTCGCTCTGTGTCATTTTGACTTTGGTGATCAAAAATTTTGCACATGAAAATGGAAAACTTGTCTTAACTGGATGAAACTTAAATGTTGTGAAAATAAAATACTTTTCTGTGACTAAATGCTTTTTTAAAGCACAATGCTATTTTCATGAAAATGTTACATAGCTTCCATTTTGAAAAACAATAAATACACTTCAAAATCAAAAATGCTTTCTCCAAATTGACTGCATGTTTTTCTTAAGATGACACGGTCTTTGGTCATGTCCCAGTCAGCAGGCGGAATTATGTTTTGTGGGAGGGGTTTATATGCTTGTAATCAAACCTTTAGCAATACAGCAGTCAAGACGTCAACGAAAGAAATTAAGTTATCAGAGAAGGTTAAAAATTAAGAGCAACTGAACTTTGTTGAAGATGGACGATGTTTCGTCCCTCATCCAAGAGACTTCTTCAGTTCTGACTGACTAGTAGGGAAGTTCATCTATTTAACCTCTGCTGCCTTTGACACAGTCAACCACAGGATCCTGCTATCCGCTCTCTCAGCAATGGGCATCTCGAGTAAAGCACTCCTGTGGTTCGAATCCTACCTCTCAGGGCGTTCCTACAATGTTTTGTGGCAAGGACAATTACCCTCCTCCCACTGCCTCTCCACAGGGGTGCCCCAAGGCTCAGTGCTTGGGCCACTTCTCTTCTCAATTTACATCACGTCACTGGGGCCGATCATTCGCTCGCACGGCTTCTCTTACCACTGCTACGCAGACGACACGCAACTCTACCTATCCTTCCCGCCAGGCGATCCCACTGTCTCGCCTCGGATCACGGACTGTCTATCGGACAGTTCTGCATGGATGAAGACTCGCCACCTTCAACTAAACCTCTCTAAGACTGAACTCTTGGTCATTCCAGCCAAGCAATCTATCCACCATAATATCAAACTACAAATTGACTCCTCAACCATCACTCCAGCCAAGGTGGTGAGAAACTTGGGTGTCATGATTGATGACCAGCTGTCCTTTTCAGACCATGTTGCTGCTGTCTCTCGTTCATGCCGCTTTGCTCTATACAACATAAGGAAAATCAGGCCCTACCTCACTCAGTACGCCACCCAGCTTCTGGTACAGGCCATGGTTATTTCTCGCATCGACTATTGCAATGCCCTCCTAGGCAGCAGCGCGTCTGATTTTTGATCAGCCCAAAAGGACTCATGTCACTCCATTACTCAGTGACCTCCAATGGCTCCCCGTGGCCTCCAGAATCAAATTCAAGTCACTAATGCTGCATACAGAGTGACTACTTGGTCTGCACCCATCTACCTAAACTACATAATACAAACTTACGTTCCTTCTCGCCCGCTACGTTCCTCCAACGAACGCCGCCTGGCTCTTCCATCCCTTCACACAAAGCAATCCCAGTCCCGGCTATTCTCATCTGTGACACCACGATGGTGGAACGAGCTACCACACGCCATCAGAGCAGGGGCGTCCCTCTCTAACTTCAAGAAGTTCTTGAAAACTCATCTCTTCTGAGAACACTTCCTCTAACTCCTAACGTCTAACATGCACTTCCTGTGCTCTTCTTCTTCTATCCCCTACAATGATCTTGTATTGATTGCACTTTTTGTTAACTCTTCCTTCCTTCCCTAGGTATCTACCCCATTGATTTGATATGTACTGTGAGCTCTTACTAGTATTTATTGCTGCTCTTACTAGTATGTTTTGTCAGTTGTAGATCTGTAGTTGATGCTCTGTTGATCCTTGTATGTTGTTCCTCAAATGTAAGTCACTTTGGATAAAAGCGTCTGCCAAATGAGTAAATGTAAATGTAACCTCTGCTCGTTAGTGCTCCTGGCCCCCAGCAGGCCACCACTTACAATGCTGTCTTTTCCCAGGAAATTTAAAAACGATCACTTTTGGGCTCAGGTACAGACGCCAACGATGGCTGTTCAGACTTGGCCTCGGGTGGCTCTCATGATCATAATAACTGTCATTACAGCAGCCAGGAGCACTAGCGAAGCAGCAGGATCGATGATCTTGGCAAACTACCCCACAGAGGTTAATTAGCTGAGTTCCCCTACCAGTCAATCAGAACCGTACTGAAGAAGTGTCTTGGATGAGGGATGAAACGTTGTCTAGTATTTTCAACCAAGTTCAGTTGCCCTTGATTTTTAACCTTCTTTGGATAACTATGACCTGGATGACTGAGAACCTACACAGAGAACTAAAATTAAGTCCAACCCATTTATGTATAAACAGCCTCAGAATGTCCATAAAGTTGAATCAACATCTCATCTGGCTGCTGAACTAAACTGCATTTGTTTCACCCTGGTTTTGTATCTAGTTGCCGAATAAACTGGCAAAAAATATAATTAAATTGCGGCAGTGTACTTCTGCTAACCAATTAAAAAAATTACAAAACAATACCTTACATTCATTTTATGGTAACGTTAGTTAGTGATAAATAACAAATATCAAAACACTGTTAAGGTGTCTCTCCTACATCAAACACCACAACATACCCAACATGCATTGTAAACCAAAGAAAGCGCCAAGATGTGTTTTACTAAATTAAACTACATACAGAGTTAAACACCAAATAAAATACCTTGCTATTCTTCTCATCCGCATCAAATCTTGATTTTGCGCCACAGCACTCTGGGTTGCTCTCAAACCAACGGGGATAACTTGTTTTTCAGGGTATGCGCACTGACACTGCGCCGCAGCGTTCCTCCCTTTTCCTCATCCAATCTTCATTTCCGGAGCAGCTTCACCTCCTCTGGACGTTTCGCGCAGCACAACGAGACCAGCTTAAAGTAAGAAGCCTCAATTTCATAGTTATAAAGTTAGAAGCTTGCTAACATATAAATGTTTATTTTAGTATCCACTTTTATTTGTTTGAAAATGTGTTGGTTCAGTTACTTAAAATCTCTGATCTGAAATCAGGAGAAAGGTCCGGTCTTATCAGAGCATCAGCACCTATTCTTGTTTAATCTCAAGGAATCCAAAGAGTAATACAATATTGATGACTCTAAACGTTCAGAAAATATAAACTAAGAACCATTTATCACCGTTGATGAACCCCCTCAGAGATTATTAGCCTATATCGTTTTTAAACAGTACGCGGGTGCATGCAATTCATGTAGACCTCGGCAGAACTCTTCTCTGCCCTCAGGATCTCTGGGCGATTCATTCATATGGCCCTAAATTAACTGCATTACCCAGGGGACACTATGTGATGCTCTCTCTACTGCCAGAGAGAGAAAGAGGACGAAGATCGGGTGCCTTTTAGGCAAACATGTTTCGAGAACTCGCTCCTCAGTGCAACTTTCCCTGAACCGACCAATCACAGCCTGGACATTAAAGAAAAAGTTAACGTGCTACAGCAAACTTTAGAAATGTTGAATTTGTGACTACTACAATGAACAGCATTTTTATTGCACAAGGATATTTAATGACAGAACAAACCCCCAAAATAAAACTTATTTTTGTTCAACTGGAATTATTATTATTATTATTATTATACTAGTAGTAGTAAGAAGGTATTTAGTATTATCTGAAATGATAATGAATACACTAACATTAGCCCTAATCAAACCTTAACCACAGTGGTGTAATATCAGAAAACAGGTTTATTTGTGAAACAGCAACTGACTGCAAATGAGGACCTACTCACACCCTTTTTTCCCCTCTCTTCAAACACTGCTAAAAGGTATAATGAAACACGCGATTTATTAACTCTTGATGTCACCCATGCTTGTCGAAAGTCTTGATGTTTTGAGATATGAAAGATCAGTGGCACGCCCATGTTGTTACAGTCATAATCCACAATCGTTGGAAAACCAGTTCTAACGTTTGCATCAGGGACAGTTACCCCCATACAGATGGTGTGACTGTGCACTTTTATTTTTTTTATTTTTTTTAAAGTGTCATTTTATGATTGATGCTTGATCGTCAATGAATGGCTTCTTAATTCCAGATAGATAATAGCCAGATTAAAGAATATAAAGGAAACAGTAATCTCTCTGGACTTGTCACCGTGACTCTGCAAATTCGTTTTCAGTCTCCTCCTATTGGTCTGATAACATAATTGACTCTTGTGCATGTTTTTATGCTTAATGTGTAGACATGGCTGTTTTCTGCTGTTAATGAGCATTTAATATGCGAGTTTATTCACTGATGTCTCTCTGTACACAGACATGTCTACCAGGGTGGCTTTGGTAACGGGCAGTAACAAGGGCATCGGCCTGGCCATCGTCCGAGCACTTTGCAAGCAGTTCCAAGGAGATGTTTACCTCGCCGCCAGAGACATGTAGGTAGCTCATCTGGTAACACCTGGACTGGACATTAGACAAGTTTACCAAAATGTCACTAACAAGGAACATACCATTTTTTTTATTTTCACGTTTTACCAAATCTCACTTTTCAAACTCATCACTGCACCATTGTTTTGAAATAAAATCTAGAAAAAGCTGACCCATGAGAAGGGGATAATGATTACATTAGTGTTGTGGGGCAATTTATTATTTTATGGAAAACAAGAGGCTGTCCACACTGAAAATTTTCTATTTTGTTGTGCAATGTTTCGACCTGCAAGATCTTTGTCAGGCAAACATTCCTGATCCACTGCTTCAGGACCATGTACCCATTTTGTTTAAATGAAGTATTTGATTTAACATTTAACGTTTCCTATATATGGGTGGCAAAATGTTTACTTTTAATTGTTTTATTATGCTATTTGATCACTTTATGGCACATATGCCATTATGGGAGTCTACTGAACTTCTTATGGAATTGTGTAATAGAGGATTGTTTCTTGAGCTAATATTAGTTTGTGCCATAATATGTGATGTTGCAATCCTGTGAGTAATTCTTTTTCAATACACACTGCATTGCTTTAAAGACTCTGCATCTGGTGTCATTTCTTCATACTTTGCTAGTCCTGCTTCACTAGCACATTCTCTCAAAATAAGAGACTTTTAAAAACCTAAACCCAATCAATAAAAAGTTAATGGAAAAAGCCTATACACACCTTTGTGGTGCGCGTATGTATTGCCTTTAAACAGATTCCATATGTATTTATCATTTATCAAAGATTGTCATACCCTTGTTTCGTCAGTACTCAAATTAGTTCAGTTGTTGAAATTGTAATGCTGAAACTTTGAAAATGTGCCAGTATTTGTTACATGTTGTGGTAAAATGTTTTCCACGTGTGAT